ATCAGAGTTCCCGGCAGGTGTTCTCGGGGCAGGAAGGGAAGAGATGAGGGAGCAAGGCCAGCCCGGCCCCCAGGAGCGGCTCCCGGAACCACGCGGACTGACCCAGCAGGGGCACGGCCACCCCGGCCCAGTGCCAGAGCTGGGAGGGAAGGACACAGCCCAGAGTTGCATCCGGGTTCAGGAAGTGTGTGACAGGGAGCTGGGCCGCCGCCACCACCACACAGTTGGTTCTCATGGCCCAGGATACTGGAGATGGGGCAGTGCTTCTGGAACCCTCGGATCCACGACAGAAACATACAAAGGGAGCAGGAAGGTGGCCTCTGGCCTCATCTCTGCCTCAAATCTCATGCAAACATTTCACTGGAGAGACTGATTTCCATCCAGAACCTCCATGCTCCCCTCTGACATCATCATAAAAATCGCTAATAGTTACTGAGCACATCCCACATGGCAGTTGCTTGTGCTAAGCTCTTAGCGCATATTCTTACCTTTCTGCATTCTCACCTCTGACCCTGACACAGCTTAGACCCTGACTCAGCTGAGCTCAGGTGTCCCAATCTAATTCCCAGGGAAGTGGCATGATTGGACCAGCTTGGGTCAAGTGGTCACTGTGGTCAATCAGCTTGGCCTGGGGAAGGAGGGCAGATCTATATAATCGTGGGACCCAAGCTCATCACTTTAGGATGGTTGAGAAAGATGGAAAATTCCAAAGAAGGCAATGTGGATTGCAGGCCTCCGAAAATATGCACCCTCCTATTCCTGTCAGCTGACAAGTGCCAAAAGCCAAGCCAGGCCCAGCGGTCTCTGCAAAATGGAGAGGTGGGAGGTGGACCTGGTGGGCTGCAATGTCTGAGAGCTCTGGTCTATCCCTGGAGCTACAGCCCAACAAAGACCTTGGTCTGAGCCAGGTAGGAGGCAGGAAAGGCCCTGGGCTGAAGGATGCCAGCCATTGAGGGCGAGGTAGCAGGACTATGCCGCGGGGCACCGGGGCTAGGTGAACTGGTAGTCATCAGGAGGAAGGGGGACGTGGAAAGAGACATGGTAGAAAGAGGTGACGGCAGGGGTGAGGAATAGGTAGAGCACCCATCCCCCACCATCCATCCAGTCCACGTCACTCACTCACAGACTTAAATATCCTGTGTCGTGAGCCGGCTCTACCTACCAGTGGGTATCCTTCCCACAAGCGACCTAACATCCCTGAGCCTCAGTTTCCTCATCTGTAAGATGCACGATTGTGACAACCACCCCCTCATGAGCGGTTGTGGGGATTAAATGAGAAAAAGCCTGTCAAGTATGTAACACGAGGGGGCACGCATAAGCCATAAGCGCAACATAAATGGCAGCAATTCATTAAAAGAGAGCGGCGAGGGGAGAGGAAAAATCAGGACCTCTATGGGCTGAGTCCCCTCTGGAGAGCAAGGGTGTGACTCCCCCCGTCTGTGGCGCTCGGGGCTCCGCATGAGAGTCGGCCAGGTTTCTGGAGCCACTCAAGTGGCCCTGATTATCTCTGGACTGGGCAGGGGAGGGTCAGAGCCTACCGGCCCACGCCCTGCCGCGGCCTCTCTGAGACACCTGGACACCACTTCTCAGAGCTCTTAGAGCCCTCCTCCACCGGGCTGTCCCTGGCCCTGCCAGGACGGACGCTCTGCCACTTCTCTCCCTCCCACTGGGAAGCCGGAACCGATGGTGGACCTTGCCCTTCCTGCACCCCCGCCCAAGACGAGTGGGGGTGCTGCTTCCTCTCCCAGGGGGCTCTCGCTGCTCCCTGTCCAGGGAGGGCGTGGGGCACACGTGCCAGCAGCGCGGCGCCAGCTTCCACCGACGTGCGGGGGGCAGGGCCAGACACCATCCTGGCTCGGGCTCCAGTCGCTGAGAGCCTGGCCATTTCTGCCCCAGCTGATGTCCTTGTGCTCTTCCTGTTTCCAGGAACCAGGACATAGGTGGGCTCCTAGTCCTGGTGCACTGGGCCCGAGCAGGAATTCAAGGAGGTCCCTCGCTCAGGGATCGCCGTGGCAAAACAGAGACCTGCTCCACCCACTGGAGAGGAAAGGGGCTTCGTTAGAAGGAGTATGACAGAAGCACAGTCCACTTTCTCTGTTCTCTCTCTCTCTCTCCTCCTTCCTCCCTGCGCATCCCTCCTCCTTGCTCATGGCAGGAAGTGGGCACCCCATCTCGGCTCAGGTGTCCCGACTCCAGGGCCCAACAGCAATACCCACAGTGAACATTGTCCCCTCCACATTGTCTGCGCCTCCCCCCGCAGAGACAGCTGGAAGGCAAACTGCTCAGAGCAGATGGTGTGTGTGTGAAGTAGCTCCGGACCCTGGCACTTTTAAACATTTAAAGCACGCGCAGATGCCTGAGAT